GGGTGCAGCTTATCTATGGATGCGGCTTATACATGGACGTTTACAGTATCTTGTTTCTAATCATGGTAGTTTACTTACACATAGTCTACCAATACATGCTTATTCCCCATCCCTACATCACATATTGTACACCGAGGTAATCAGGTAAACTTACACTAACCTGGGAATCCCTTCATTGTCTTTGTTTATTTGCTTACAAATGCATTTAACCCTCTGACCCCAAAGAGTGACATGCATCCAATTTCTCAGTACAATATCACCCCTGAATCAAACATGAAGGTCGTTAGAATGAAGGAAATAATCGACTACTAAAGAAGCTCTTGATTGTCAAACAGATACTCAATACTCAGCTCCTTAGGAAATGTATAGAGAACAGTATGGAGAATATGCATACTGATGTTAGGGTGTAAATGGTATGATACTATGATCTTTGTGTTTTTCATTCACTCTATGTATAGTGTATATCACACTTTAATGGGTTTTTCCTCGTAAATCTGGAAAATCATTGGATTTGAGAATGAGTTCTGAAAAGGCCCTTTGAAAATGATTTTTTTGACATAATTATAATACATTTTGTCCATGATTATTTTAAGGATTATTTTTTAGACCTGTGAATGTTGATCCTCTTTTAGAGCCTCACTGGATATACCTGAAACCAATGCTTTGGTATTTTCTGAGCAGGTATGTATTACATACCATAGATTGAAAGGCCACAATGTTTGTTTGATCAACAGTAATTCTTAACCAATCCCACATTGTGTCTGTAATACTCAGATCTGAACACCCCCTCAATTTCTCTGTCACTTTTGGAAACATAAATCTGACAAAAGTTTGGAATGTTAAGCAACTTGATCTAGTACATTTTTTTTTTGGCAATTTTTTTGGCTACATGTGTTAACTTCGGACAAATTTCTGCATGCAAATAGTAGTTGTTTTTGATGGCTGAACATGAGATCAACATGCATTGAAGGAGCTACAGTTTGTTACCAAAGTTCATGTTTCTCTTGCACCCTACAAAACTGTTGTCTGATTATAGAAGATATAAAGGTGCAAAGATGATAAAGTGTTATTCACATTTTTACTCCCAGAAGTAATTGTGATAGACCATGTCCCCATAATAGTTATGTCCATACATTATCCAGCAAACAGGAAATGAGAATAAAGGGGGTAATTTTTTAAAGAAACTGCGGTGCTGTGTTGGTGAGAGAGGATAACAGGTAATTTAGTGTTAACAACTGAGTTGAAAACAAAAATTGGCCACCTCTTGAAACAGTAACCTTTAAACTCTTTACAGTGGCCAGTTTACCTTTTCAACTCAGTTGTTAACACTAAATTATCAGGAAATGAGAATACTCAAACTTATCAGGTACAAGTTGTTATCATGATCTGACACCAAATTCTCGTAACTAATTTAAAAGGAAACATGTCTTAGCTAGAGGGGAGAATTTACAAGAAGATCTTCAGAGTGCAAGGGTTGTAAAAACTATAGTAAACAGATTATTGTTCCTGATTGCCCGTTATTGGCTGTTAAAAAACTTGAAGGCATTTTATAGATTCGATATTACTGTAGTTTTATACATGTACACTGTGTTTTTATAGGAAGACACACTTTTCTCAGGTTGTGGGGACAATAATATTTATATGTGGGACCTTGAGTCTGGAACATGTAAGGTAATCTTTAAAGAAAGTTACATTTCATGTTTTAATTTAGTTAAAGAATGGTGTTTTGTCAAAGAATACTTCATCAAGTGATCTTAACTTAGTATCAAATATTTATTAATTTTTTTATTAACCTTTATTACTTGACTGTGTCTTTTAGAACACATTGTCTGGTCACTCAGATTATATTCAGTGCCTTACTCTCAGAACAAAACACGGTCAATGTGTGAGTGGAGCTGAAGATGGAACTGTAAGATTATGGGGTATGAAGTTACACTGAAGTTCAATACCTTACACTAGCCTTGTGTTCTTGATTCAAACTGTAAGTTACACACCAAGTTTTTTCTGCTTGGATTTATGGCCCAAGTGCGAAGCACACAGGCTATGAATCTAAGGGGGAAAAACAAGATTCCATAACTTACAGTGCAGACTTAGAAAACAAGGTTCATAAGATATACTGTATCCCTGTGTTCAAGTAGAGGGGGAAGACTTTTTAACCCTCTGAACCCCAAAAGCTACTTGCATCTAATTTCTCTTCACAATATCCCCTCTGAAACACACATCAATGTCACAAGAATAAAGGAAATGATCACCAACTAAAGAAGCTCTTTACTGTTGAACAAATTCTCCTTGTCAGCACCTTGGGAAATGTATAGAGAACAGTATGGAGAATATGCATAATGATTTTAGGGCATAAAGGATTTAATCAGGTGATACAGTGAATTAAAGCCTGGCATATTGACCAATTTTCTTTTACTGGCCAAAATGGTTGAAACGTGAAGCACTGTTATGTTCTCATTTTAAGAATTTTGTTTTTGTTTTGCCCAATTTTTAGATTACAGAACAAAAGGATCCATGACTGACATGATTGAACCCTGTAAAAATGAGGTAAAAATGGAGATGTTTGCTATACAGTTGGTGGATTTTCTTTCTTTAGTACTTAATTGACCAAAAAGTCAATTTTATTTCTTTTTAAGACTTATGTAGGTTTTGTTTTTTTTTTTTTTTAATATACTAGGTTTTTTTAGCATTTTTACTTTACATCCTGAGCTCCAATAATTCTAGCTGCATCAACTTTAATTTCCTACCAGGTTCTCACTTGTTAAATTTTTATTTCTTTTCCAAATCATACTTAGATTAACTGCATGGCAGACTTTGTTGAGTAGTCTTCATCAAGCCAAATCATGAAATAATACAGTTCACTTTATGACTTGTACATGGTTTTGTAAGTTTTGCAAGATAAATGTTAATTTTTTATGCCTTCACACCAGGATATACACAGACCTCATTTGGGGTCTTGGATAGGTTGTGTTGCTGTTGATGAGGGTGAGGACTGGCTGGTGAGCAAATGAGTATTTTTTTTTCTTTTTTTTGGGGGGGGGGGATTGTGTTGGTTCTAAATGTTTTCTTTTAGTAAGTTCCCTCAAGAACAGTTTTCTAGCTGTGTGATTAGACTTCTTTGAAACAGCAGTTGAAAAATACAAATATTTTGCTTCACAATAGTTATTCTAAGAAATTTGCCTATAGTCTTTGACCTTATGTACTTCACCCAATTTTCTAGGCTCATGTCTTAATATTTGTTTATAAGCCAATGCCTGCATAAGAGGGTAATTTAGCATTATCAAATGAGTTGGCCAATGTAAAGAGTTTCAAAACTTAAGGTCCAGAGCGTTAACCCCCTCATAATAATAATAATTATAATTATAATAATAATAATAACAATAATAATAATAATAGGGATTTCTATAGCACCATATCCGCAGGCTCATGGTGCTCGTCAGAGCAAATGGAGGAGTTGTGGGTTGTGGGTCGGTTTATATACAGAAACTGGAGCAATGCTACTGGTGAGAATATGGTTATAAGAAAACAAGAATAGTTGAATGAAAAGCACTTGCTTGCTGATACGGTAGGGATTAAGAGTGCAGATTTGAAAGATGAATTTTTTTCCTAGAGTTTTGTGGCTTTCTAAACTGCCTAGATATAGGGAGAGGCCACAAACTGCCATATGCTGCTTAGATTTACCTGCATGTTGTGTTTATTCTTCACACACTCATATATTTATTTACAGGTCTGTGGTGGTGGCCCGTCCCTGTCGGTGTGGCATTTGAGGTCCATGAATTGTACAAGTGTTCTGAAAACAGCTTCCAGTCAACAGTCTGCCCTTTTCCATGATGACCTTGTAAGCAACAATACTATTATTAACCCATTAACACCATAACCCCAGAATGCATATTATCCATACTGTTTTCGATAGATTTTCCTACAGTGCTGACATGGAGAATTTGTTTTAAAAAATCACGAGCTTCTTCAGTTATTGATAACCTCCAGCCTTTATTTTCATCACCTTAATGGGTAAATCAGACTGATAGTGTAAGGAGAAATTAGATGCTAATCACTCTTCTGAGTCAAAGGGCCAACAATCATGTGTAACAGCCTGATCCATTGGTTACACTACAAAATGAATGCACAGGTTTATGGATTCTGGTAATTTTATATCCTCTGTTAAATTAAAGACAGTGCAACTTAAATGAAGAGTTGCTTTTATGGGGACATTTAAAGACATCCTTGTGAAAAGCAACCAGATTTGAGAATAAGATCACATGCGACAAGATTTTGCATTGGTTGTGTCCAAAATGTGGTGTTACTTGAAACGTTTTTAACCAAATGAAGTTTCTTATAGCTCTGTTGAAACTTGGCTCCGTTGAAAGGATGGAAGATACATGTTTAAAAAAATTTTTTTTCACACTAGATTTTCATTTTGATGTGAAAGTTAATTTTTTTCTCCTTAAGATATTGTCTGCAGGGTCAGAACCAACCGTGTTCCACTGGCAGATAAATGGGGATCCAAAAACACATGTTCCTTGCACACCAAACTCAGTTTTTACCATGCAAATTAATGACCAGTCTCCAAAGAATAAGGTAGCTAAAAATAGTTCATCTGTCTGGCCCCAGTTGTTCAAAAGGTTGGATAATGCTATCTACTGGATATATCGGTACATTTGCAATCACTTATGCATTAGATAGCATTATCCACCTTTTATACAACTGGGCCCTAGTGGTTTGCAGAGTATGTTTTGCTTTTACTTATCTGATGGATACCAATCTGTTCTTTTGCTAATTATAATTGTTTTGATTTAATGACTTTACACCAAGGGGGTGTACAAGTCATAAAGGGATTTCCTTTTCAGGCTTCCAGTTGGAGGCAGCCTTGAGGAAAATCACAATTTGATAATAAATACACAGGGAATAATGGGAATCAAAAACAGAGTTGATGCTTCTAGTTAAAACTTCTTTGTTATTAAGTTCAAACAGTCAAGCATAGAAATATGTAACTTTTAATATTGGGGGTCTGTTCAATGTTTGGATTGGTGTCGTAGTTATCTTTAGATGCTGCTTAACAGACATTAGCATTTTGAACCAGTAATATGAAAATGTGCATCACCATCCATAGCCTTTATGAATGCTGAATTTGGTCAAAATTTTCTCATTCCTTTTTTACAGAGGATGTTAAGAAAACCTACCCACAGGATATTCATTCAGTCGTTTTTTTTTAATTGCCTTAAAAGCAAGATAAGCTTATAAAAGTTCACTTAATTGCATGATAATATTGAAACCTGAATAAGTTTGTCCTTGTATTCTTAATTTTGCCTTGTTTGATACAATTAACCCTTACTTTTTTTTCAGGTTCTTGCAGTGGGTGGTTGTTCAGCTGACATTGATGTTTTTACAAACTTCGGCTATAAAGCACTATCATTTAAATTTTCTCAATAAACTAGTCCTTTGTCAATTGTGGATAGAAATTGTGTTGTGTAGAATAGGAATGAATATTTTTCCAGGTACTTGCACAATAGGTTATGCTAACCATCAGACAGTAATAACTCCCATGGAAGAACACTAAAACATTGTAATAACTATTGGCCACAAGAAGCAGAAAACTCAACATTGAGTTTTAAAAAGCATGCAACATCTAATTTTTGTTTAAAACTGGTCAGTCATTACATTTATCCCCCTTTACACTCTGTTGACAAAAACTGATTTTCTCCCCTCCCCTCTTTATTCCTCCCAAAAACCGTGTACTTCCCCCCTCCCCATGGTAAAAAATGATTGGTTCACAAAGTCACCTACCTATGTAAAAAGAGGTGAATGAAGGGCATAAAAGTGTGTAACAGATATGTTAAATATTCTCCACTGTAATTCATTTGATTAGCTTCAGTAAAACAAAGGGGGAGAGGTGACAGGTTTCAACAAACAAGTATTCCTGCAAAGCTAGAAGGGGATAGTAATTATGTGAACAACTTTTTGGCCAACAGGCAGCATGAAATTGCCATCTACTTATGCACTTCAAGAGAAATGCATTTCAATAAGATTGAAAATGAACTTAAATTAACAAACTGAGAAAAATCTTATTTTCTGATTAAAATTTTTCTTAACCTTTGTAAAAGCTAGTTTTTAATTGATATTTTCCACAATTATATTGAACTTTAATTAATACAATGCATTACAGAAAAACATTCTTATGTGAAATTTGTCTTTGTACACAATCTCCTCCATAAGTTAAGTTGATACAAAATAATCACTAATATTAATAGTAATGTTTGAATTTTACAGTAGGTACATACAAATGACATTTTTACAGCTATTGTAAAATATTATGGCTAAAGGAAATTGCAACTTTATAATTTGTCATTAAATAATATTTCACTAAAAACAGCTACAACTTTCTCATTTTTCAGTTCTTAACCTCATTCTGCCTTCATAAATTGTAATAAATCTTGCTCAGTTTGATTTTCCCTAGCTACTTCTTGTAAAGTGCAATCTGACATTACGTTCATCAAACAATATAATTTCCTCAAGGCACTCTTAATATCCATACAATTTGCATTTGTAAACATCTTTGTCAGTGCATTCTCTGGTCTTATCGAAGTAAATGAAGCAGCCATCTTTGCGCTGAAGTTTCTTTACATAGCCATTATGAGGCCAGCGATCCTAAGTCAAGAAACACAAGGATCATTATCATTATCAGAGAACTTAAGTTTATCATTTGAATTTATAATCTGTTTGTTTCAAAGAAGATTATGGGTCTGAGTAAACTATCGATAGCCTTAGACAAACAGCATGAACCTAACTTGTCCACAGTACCTTTCTTTTAAAGACGAATATCGTTAGAAATCGCTTTTTTGGAATTTCATAGGAGAGATTAAACGCACTCTGGAGCACCAGTTGTAGGTGTCTCAATAACTCCAAAATAACTAGTGGGCATGGGGAAGCTCACGAAGGGTCACAGCCTGACAAAATTCATCAAGCAATTACGATTATCTTAACGATAAGCTTAACTTTGTAGATAAAAAAAGATTAGGGTTGAGCAGAACTTCAACCTAATGGGGCCGGAAAGAGGGTCTGAAGCTCGTTGCTTAGAAGTGAAAACGGATTTTGGTCGCCTAACCCGAATTATACCTACTACTACTAACCCTAAGCAATTACATGTATTCACGTAGGAAACACCACAGTAATTTCATTTACGAAGGTTCTTCTGTCTCCTTTTGTGCGCATAAATTGTTTCAAACCTCGCAAAAAAGAAGTCTTAAGGGTCATGACTAGGAAGTAAAACAATACACACTCCTGAAGTAAATAAAATCTCGAGGAACTTACAGGTTCTTTTTGTTTGACATCGCGGTATTCGTGTACATCTCTATAGCCAGCGATCTGAAATCTGTAAGCTAGTAAAAAGCAAATTTCACAAAGAAAGTTAGTGAATGCTTCAGAAGTCATAGAGGAAAACAATCTTATGATAGTTAGCCATTTTATGATAAATATTGTGAGGTTCATAGAAGAAAAGGAAGTATCTGATACCTTCTTCCACTTCCTCGCTCCAGCGCTTGGGTCGAGAAACTGATTTTGGTCCTGATGGTTGTGCGATAGGAGACACAATAGACGCCATATTGTTTGATCCTACAAGGAAACAAGAATGTTTTAATAATTTGGTTGAAAAAGGTTTGTGTCCACAAGAAAAAAAGGCTTCTCTTTGATATTTGATGGCAAGTTGCCTTGAGCACGAGATGAAATCTTGTGGCAAAGAGATAATTGAGTTTCGTAGCCGTTCTGTGGTTTTAAATCAGCCGCAGTCTTAGTGAGGAACACAGAGAGCCAATAATGGAATGAAACGATGTTCATATTCGCTTAAATGCGATTCTAGTGCAACAGAAAAGCAAAAAAATTGCTTGAAACAAAATTTGCAACGTGTACAATATCTCCGTCACGATAGGGGAAATTGGAGATCATGCAATCTGATTGCACTCTGTTGGAGGACGTAATTCGCCAAGAAACGAATATTTCTCGGAAAAATCGCGGACACCAAAGCGAAAGAACTTACCTTAACAGTCCTTGTCTTCAAAAATGATAGTCAAACGTAAAACTCTCTGATATAAACAGTCTGAAACTGTTTTGTCCGCGCTATGCAACAGATGTCTGATTGCCTTCTGATTGGCTCATTGTTAGTTGCTATAACAACGTGAAAAACAATCAATAATCTTTGAGCCCGCAGGATAGTCAGTGGTCGTTTTCGGGACCATACATGTACCCATACATCAAATATTTTCCAACGGTAAACAAAGATGGCGGATGCGGACTGATGTGCAATCGTCTGCTTTGTCAAAGTCGAAAAGGATGGATTTTCTCTTCATGGCGTTTATATATACTTTAATTTTTGTTACCCTATCATATGTAGTTTTTTTTGGAAGTACTGACTTTCATCGAACTGGTTTAGTAGGTTTTCTACGAAGAAAATTGTTTTCAGTGAGTGCCTTGTCTTTTTGTGTAGCTCCTCTGCGCTTATATATAGCTGAAGTTAAGTCTTTTTTAACGCTAAGCAAAACTAATCAATTATCATTGAAATAAGCAATTGCGGAATTGTGTCAGATATGCCTTTGTTGGTTGAGTAAGCACGTAGATGTCTTTGTCCATGAAATTAAAGCAATGTTATTTATCTTTAATTTAGGTTTCCCATTTGACGAAGTCTACTTTTGAAAAGTGCGTTCCAGCAGCTTTAACTGGCATCATAAGAAGTGCTACAACTTATCTCTTGTTTAAAAGGTATGCTAAGTTATTTTAAAGGCTTTGATTTAGGAGCAAGGTAGTGTTTGACTTTTAAAAGTCGCGTGACAAGTCAGTCGCCTGACATGAGAGTAACAGCTTCCTTGTTCTTAACACCTGTCTGCAGAGCATGGCAGATGCGTGCTCAATTTTCTTCCTGTCTTACTTAAACGTACATTCCACGTGGCAGAATCCCTTTTGCATGCATGAGATCTCGACGAGTTCTGCCGTACTGTCTGCATACTGCAGTCTCATTCTAATGTCAATCCTTCCTCTCTTCACTTCCCTTTGACGCCACACATGTTATAACACTTACATTTGAAAAATTACAAGCCTATTACCATCTGGTAGGAAACTTGAACTGTTTTTTGTAGTGGATGTTGCTGTATTTCTTCTCCAGACTTTTTACCCGTTAGATAATGAATTTTATCAAATGATAAATGGTGGGAATTGGTAGAGAAGTTCTAAAGCTGACATTAAGAGTGTTTTGAATTGATAACTTTGTAAACTTTCATTTCAGATAATCTAATTTTGTCTCTTTCTAGAAATCCTTGTATTCAGCTTCTTTATGGCTTCCTTATGAGTGGAGGGACTGCTATCTACAGCTTCAAAGTCATTCCTTACTTTGACAAAATGAATACATTTAGCATTGTTACATATATTCTTATAGCCATCAATGTGATGCTGTTTTTGGTTTGTTGTACACATGATCCTGGTGTGATAAAAGTGACAAATCACACTGAGTACATGAATGACTATAACCCTGATGGTGTATATTACACAACACAAGAGTGTTCTACATGCAAGTTTATTAAGCCAGCAAGATCAAAACATTGCTGTAAGTACATTAATTGTTGATATGTACTTAACTATTACTTCCCAGTAGTCTCTTTAAAACATCAAGTTCAAGCCAGGTTGTTATTAATTATTTGACACTATCTGAAACTACATACAGGTGCCAAAAGAGTGTGTGGGAGATGTGGTGGCTTGGATGCTAGCATGCTGGACTCTGGGTTAAGAGGTTCAGCCATGCATGTTGATTGGCTGTAAAACTTAATACCAACTAATATCTGGGAAAACAAAAAAATTCAAGTCTGCTTTTGAACCAAATGGTCTAAGAACAAAGGAATTGATCACCATTATCTGGGGTGGGGGGCATTGGGATTTTCACTTTTGCAGTTTTGACTATTTTTAAGATTGGTTTTTCAATTGTTGTGTCAAAAAACTTCAGTTTTTCAGTTTTGGTGTTCACGCAGTTTGCATATTTTCTATTTTTTAGCATTTGGTTTGCGGTTTTTGTGAAAAATGCTAATAGGTTTTCAGATTTAATATCTATGTGGTTTTTGGTTTTTCCTATTTGGGTTCCAGTTTCTCTTTGATCTGAGTGGCAATTATGGGCCTCTACTGATCTGGAATAGTTTCAAAACCTCTGTATGCTCCACTTGTCACCACTGTTGTGGATCGATTAGGGTTTTGACAACTGGGATGTGAAAATTTATCGGTTTTGATGGTTTTGCATAGGGTTTTTGGCTTTTGATCAAATTTTTTTTGGTTTTGCAATTTTGGATTTCTATGGTTTTGCATTTTCTAATGACCCCAGTGCCCTCACCCCCTCTTCTTAAGAGGCTCTTGACTGTTTGAAACAAATTCTCCCCATGTATGACAAGAAATGTAGAGAGGAAAGTTTGGAGAATAACCATATTGATGTCAAGGTGTAGAGAGTTGAGTGTCTTACCTAAGATCACAACAACATGACAGGGTAAGGGTTTGAATCAACACCTCTTCACCTGGAGTCCAGCTTGCTCAGCATTAGGCCATCTATGATGGCAACAGCAGCCTGTTTGTGTAGATAACAATGAGATTTTGAGTACAATTTTGTGTTAATAAGTGCAAGTAAATTTTTCAAAGACAACTAAACTTACTTATGCTTATTGACACCACATTGCACTCAAAATCATGTTGTCACTTTTTAATGATTTATGTGAAAAAAAGCATTACAGAATATCTACATGGACATAATTTTGACATAAAATTTTTATTGTTTGCACTCCTGTTAAGACTTTGCACTCAATTTACATGAAAAATGCACTCATTTTCAGCTTATCAGACATTTGCAATTTTTTCTTGTATATTATTACAAATTGAGAGAAAACCCTGTTTAACCCTTTATTTCCCATGAGAGACCAAGACAGAGTTTCTCCTTACAATATCAATACAATACCAGGCAGACAAATGATGAGAATAAAGAAAAATATCAATTAGGGAATCATAAGTTGATCAAATGCCAATTTCTCAAAATCAACATAACAAGAATTGTATGGCAGACAGTAAGGAGGATTACTTATGAGATCTTGGGAGTTAAAGGGTTAATACAGCCTGACATCACCCCAGTTATGCTTTTAACCATTGACATGTTCTGGTGACTCCATTATTTTACTTCAACAGCTCTATGTGATGTGTGTGTGAGTCGTTTTGACCATCACTGCTCCTGGGTGAACAATTGCATTGGAAAGAAAAACTACAAGTTCTTCTTGTGTTTCATCATAAGTACTGCAATACTTTGCGTGTATGGGACACTTGTGACAGCAGTTGTGTTTGGTTATATTGTGCTCTCAAAAGGCCTGATCACCATGAATTATGAGGCCTATGATGGAAAGCATTATCCAGTAGGAATCAGATTTTTAACCCAGGTAACTCATATTAAAATTGTATAATTTACATTGTCATACAAGATCCACTGCATACCCCTCTACATTATATCATGAACAGAACTTCATGATGAAGAGTAGATTATAGATAAATCTTGTGCCTGAGGCCAACTTGCATAGCTGTTGGAACTTATTCTGGCCTCTTTAGCATGAAACATCTGGGAATAATATTTCATCTGAGGGATTGGCCCCTAACAGGGTATTCCCCTGCATTTTGTCAGCCTTTCCCTACAGTTCAACCCTACTCATTTATACCCTTGGGGACACCTTTAGGTAGAATGCATCCCATCACCATCAGCCACTAGAAATTCATCAAATTTCCCTGCATACCAATTTTCTGCTACCATTAACACGAGCAGAAAATGAGACCTCGGGGTAAAAACTTGGAAACTACCCGAAGCGCCAAACCACGAAATGACCTTAGTGTCAGATCTGATTGGCTGAGAAAGTGGCGCGTGTTTTCTAGACCAATTACAAAGCGAATTAAAGCAAAACCAGAGCAACCCTGAATAACTTTCGTCAATCTCTTGAAAATTTTTGCAACGACAGAAATTGCTGCAGCAGTAACTCCTTTTATCTTTTCCTTGCAGTATTTGCTGGTTCGGCAACCCTTGCTGGCAATACTTTTCCTTGTTGTTTTGTTCTTTGGTGTGGCCATGACAGGGTTCTCCTTATTTCATTTCTACCTTGTTCTTACAAATCAGACCACGAATGAATTTTACAAACGTCATTATTATGGTAAATCCCACCCAAAGTTATCTCGGCAGTCAAAAATCGTCTCGTCTCAGACTGAGAAAACAATGATACGAACGACGAGACGAAGGACTTTAACCCGTAACAAAGAAACCTCGTCAAGAACTTCGACTAATGATGTAGTAGCTACCGAAAAATTGCCATCTCCGAGGACTAGTACACCATATTACATTGGAATTTGGAGAAATATTACAGAAGTAATGCGCGTGTGATTGAGGAAAAAAAGAAAGATTTGGGAGAGATTGTGAGATGGATTTTTTAGCGCTGCCAGGAGAGGGCGCATTAATGCAACTTGCATGTGTTCATTGTAGATTTCTGCAGCGTTTACTTTCATTTTGTTCGATGAAAAAATTTATTTTTGGACACTAATATTTTGAAGGAAAAGAAGTTTGATCGAGGAAGTTTGGTATTCTTAATTGCATTTCACTTCATTAAAAAAAGTTACAATATTTCAAAGATATGCAAGATTCTTAAGATAACACTCGAGATTTCTCAGGATATTTCAACTTATCCCTGTCAATCTTTGAGAACCCACGAATATTTCAGGGTTGGGTTTACTGTATTCAAAGGCCAAAATTGACTGTAAAATGGTTCTGTAGCTTTTTTAATAATCCCACCAAGACTGGTCCTTTTGTTATTCAACTCACGATTCAGTAGCTGAAGGTTGCGGAAACTACATTTCTATTCACTTAAAGTCCAGAAAAGGCCAGTACATTCCGGCCGAATTTTAACTCATTCTTGACCCATCCTTTCGAATTTCTTTATTTTAATGGGTTATGAGATGACTCAAATTTTTACTTTTTTTCTAGTACGATGTCAAACTATTGGGTTTTTATTGGACGCAGTCTACTGTATCGACTCGTTACATTTACTCGACCGGGAAAGTCAAACATAGTTGTCTAATTCACTTGAGTTGAATGTTGT